ATGCTAATGAAGCCCGGGAAATTCAAATCCCGGGCTTCATTAGCAAGTGCGGTATGCATACATTACCCCGCTAGTTCGAACTACCGGGGTAGTGTAGACATACCCTTGGTGACTTCATAAATTATTCAATAGCAGTGTTCAGAATGACGTTCTGTTAAATAGCAGGACTTATCGTGACCAGTTTTGGTACCTACATTAATGAAGAACTAGACAAATAATTATAATCCATGTTTAAAGACTGTTTTCTGGGCACAATTCTTAAAGGAAGGCCTATATTAACAATTATCACATTTTGTCTGGGAAATTAGGTTAAGAAAATACTGGCTACTTCTGAAGAAAATAACAGAGGAGAGAGCTGGCCACCTTTCTTACTGGGGATTGTATTACTTAGGGATTTTTGCAGCAAAGCAAGATACTTTTAAATGTGTCAGAGAGAGTTTCATTGGCCAAGTTGCCTAGATAACCCCATGTCTTCTAATCTGTTTCTGATTTCTCCAGTTGGCTTCTTATTTAGATGAGGGACCTTTCTGAGGGTCTGGGGATAAAAATAAGTACAAAAATATTTTTTAAAGTATATTGTTATAACCATGAACTGGCAATTTATTTTACAACAACAATGATATTCTGTTAGGGCCAGACTGCACATAGAGAAATAGCATACAGTATATTTAACATGCTATATTATTTGCTGTATTATATAAGACACGTATTACCAATGTAATACACATTTCTGTACTCAAGTCCTGCTTCTATTTCTCCATTCCCCCACCTCCGCAAGGGAGAAATGGGTCCAAAGGGAGAACCTGGAGTGCCTGGGCACAGAGGACCTACTGGAAGACCAGGAAAACGAGGCAAACAAGTAGGAATTCTGTTTTCTCTTTATGAGTTTTCTGGGATTTGTGTGGGAGTCAACCCTGGCCAGTCATACAGTCAGAGTGGGAGGGTCAAAGGCTGTATGTTATCTGAAATGTTACTTTTCCTCTATTAATAACAAGATTTTAAGTTAAGTGTAACAAGGCTGTGATCTTACCTCTGAATCCCAATCAGCCTGGCAGCATGCACCTGATGGGCTCCACAACTCTGCCCTCATCTGATCTGGAAACCGGGCTCCCCATTCTGGCTCTAGACTCAGTTAAGGGGGCCAGTTCTCCGGGCCCACTGAATTACAGTCAGCACAGGACAGGACCCAAATTGTTGGGAACAACAGTGGTTTCACTCCCCAAAACTGAGGCTGACTTGGAATCAGGGCTTCTGATTCTAATTTTCCTCCAGATGCCAGTTGGCCAAAGGACAGCTCTGGGAGCCACAGATAATCAGCAGGTAGTGATCCTCCAAAAATGCCATTGCCATTGGTGGCTGTGAGAAGGGGCGGACATTCTTCAGGCTAAGATGAATTCTTAGCCGGCCAGAAAAGCTGGCTTTATGGACCTGTGGGTACTGGAGAGGCCATAGTGGAGGCCTGCATCTGGTCCATCTCCTCAACTAACTTTCTCACCCACTTGGATTTGTGGATACACTTTACGGTATCCCATTTCCACCCTAAGGAAAAGTGTAGAGTTTTGGAAGTCACAAGGGCCCAAAGCTGGTCTTTAACCTTCACACATATTTCTTTCTATCCCTCTGAAGCATTGCCACTTGGATCCAGGAGTGTGAGGGACTGTAAACAATGGGCAATGCTATATGGCAATTTACTGACTTGGGGACCGAGTCCAGCAGGGTGCTGCAAAGACTGACACTGGCAGCTTTATTGCACATCTTTAGTAATGGCATGGAAAGATAGATAGGGAGCATACCAAGTACATATGCAGATGGTAAGATCTGGAGGGTATTAAAGCCATCACTGAAAACAAACTCTCCAGTTGTGCAAAATTAGAACTATGTACAGGAAATAGCCACATTACTTTAGGCATTGAAAAAAAAAGAAAGGGTAACACTGGAGGTTTCAAAGTATAATGGCTGGTATACTACACTCTGAACCCAGCAAACTGTGTTCAAATCTCAGTGAGACCCAAGTGCACTTTTAGTGGCTCTGTAGTGCATTGGACTTGTAGGCTACGTCTTACTTCAAAGTAAGAATAAGAGCCTCCGGAAAAGGGCACTTTTTCCGGAGGATCGGGGCCAGTCTAGACGCTCTTTTCCGGCTTTTTTAAAAGCCGGAAAAAAGCGGCGGACATTTTTATTTAAATGCTGCGGGGGATATTTAAATCCCCCGCGGATTTCCCTACGACGACTCGTGAAATTTACATGCCCCTTCCGGAAAAGGGGCCAGTGTAGACGTAGCCGTAGAGCTGGGAGGTCATTCAAAGAGTGTGGGTTTGAATCCCATCAGAGGGCACTTTTTCTTCCTTCCTCATTAGTATAGTAGGGAATAGTTCTACCTGGTATGTAGGAGGCTGGAGTTTGAGCCCCTGATGAGGAAACTGCAATTTTTGAGGGCAGAGTAGTTGATGATCCCACTGGTCCCTTCTGGCCTTCTAATTGATGAATGAATATAAAATGTAACTAATTACAGTAGTAAGAGGTAGATAGCGGGGAAATAGTAATGCTGAAGTAACTGGGGGCTCTCGTTCAGCTCTGAGCACCACATGCCAGAAATAGATCAACAAATTAGAGGAGTTCAGTGAAGAGAAGAAAAATGATTAGAGCTGAAGGAATTGAATTACAAGGTAAGATTAAATATATTCAGCTTGGCTAAACAGTGACAAGAGTTACTCCATCTTGACTCAGAGAGAAACTGCTTGTGTGCATTGGAAAAGAGCCACCTGGCACCCAACTGGACTAGATTAATACATTTGTGGACTCATAAGGACCATTGATCTGTACTTCAAAATCATAGTAATGTCATCTGTTCCCAGTCTATGCTGTATGTTAAGCACTTAGTACACAGCCAGACAGTGCCATTTTAAATTCCAGTCCTGCAATTGGATCTACATGGGCAGACTCTTTAGTTCAAGTGGATTTTGCATAGGTGTGACCATCCCCATGGCTCAGATTGCAGGGGCTTTGGAGGTTACCACATGTAAAGAAACAAGGCTGTTACAAAACATTCTTATCACTGCTTCCTCTTTATGGAGTAGATACCGAGATCACGTTGGCTAATCATGCTGGGTACGTGTATGGAGCCAGTCATCATGTACTACATAAAAAGATGAATCCTTGCACTCTGAAATTGTGACAGAGGGCATGGAGCAACTTTTTAAATAAAAATAATTTAAAGCTGGTACAAGATAAACCAGATGAAATAATATTATAGGTAACGTGTTTATTTTGGGTTCAAAATAATTATATTTATAGAACTAACATTTTCAGGTTCTTTGGGATTGGTGTGAAAGCTGGTAATTGTATGCAGAAGTGGAAGCAAACTTCAATACAAGTTGCATTAGTTACTTGGGAAAATGTAAAATATTACATTAATTACTAACTCAGAAGAGTGAATATGTATCATCAGTTGCATTTTAATGCACATTTCCTCATACATCCTGAATCAATTTTAAACAATAACTTTTGCATACAGTTTCAGGAGCTCCAGCAGCTTCCTTTAAGAAGCTTATGGTCAGTGGCCAGTTGAAGGTATTTTATTTTCAAGATGGTTACACCTAGCACTGAAATACTGGAATCACTGGACTAATTTCCTAGTGGTTCAATGTCAGGAGGAATAAATCCATTAGTCAGATAATTAGTCATAAATCCAATAAGTCAGATAATGCCATACCCATGTGGGAAATTTTTAAATACCAGGTATTTTTGCAAAGTTAATCCTAAAAATAGGAGTACTACCCAAGTGCAGATCATGCAAAGTAAGTCTGTTGCATGCCACAAAAGCAACATTTTGCCCTGTCAGAGGTGAATTTTTAAAAGTTGCTATGTGCCCCCCTAACATCATTCTTAGACTGTGTTAAAGTTTCCCACCCAAAAGAATGGAGACAGTGTTAACCCTTTAATGGGGAAACAAATATAAGGCATGGTGCTCACAGTTTTGCTCTAAAACTTGGAGTTGCAGTAACTTTTGATCTTGTAGTTATTGAGCTTAGGAACTTTGTCACATTAAGTAATTCTTTATTTTATAAGTAATCCCATTGTATCATATGAGTAGTTGTGGTATAAACTACCACTCAGCATGATAGATATCTAATCTGGCCTTAAATTAGGAGTCAAAATCCCACATCTAGATATTAACATCTAAGCACTCTCTGGGTGTCTACATGTCAATTTGAGAACTAAGTTTATGTCCTGACGGTTGAAAATTAGGTTTCCCTTTTTGTAGTTGATCAGCTAAACTGAAATTATTTTTATTTTCTGTTTTTAAAAAAATCTTTAAAACATTATTTTCTGGCTTTTCTGGCTTGTCTGTTACATATGTTGCCTGTGCTAAATGGGAAATATGTGTTTAAATGGCTATTTGTTAAACAGAGAAGATAGCTTTCACCCACACAGAGTCATTTCCTGTCTCCAGAAACAGCTGACATCCCTGTATAAATGCCTGCATAGCAGCTAAATTAAGAAAGTGTTACTTCCAGTTCCAGTCTAAGATCCATCTTGTTTATCTCATTGGCTTCTTCAGCGCTGTGCTGAGTCTTCAGGGGCATATCCATTCTGAAAAGACAGGCAGACTGTGGATCTCATAAGTCACTGCCTCACAGCTCCCAAACTGACATAAAAAGCCCCTCCCTCTGCTTTTCAGCATGGAAACTGATACTAAGTAGCCAGTCCAGGATTTCTTTGTTGACAAGGTAGAATGTCTTACATTAGTAGTGAGCAAATACTGTTACATGGGGAAAGGCCCTTCCCAGCAGCAGGGAACCAGCCCTCCGGAAGATTAAGTTTTGTCTTTGGGAAGAGCTTTCCCAAGTGCTGTAGGGCTTGGTGGAAAAAAACAATGCAAAAGACATTCTGGTGTAAATGATTGCCTTGTTTGCGCGATCTGCATCCAGCAAGGGAGTGCTAGTTGATTATTCATCTATAGTATATTTCACATGAAATCTAGCACATTCCAAACCGTCCAGTATATGACAGTTTATTTTTTTCTGTCATGTATTCCTTCTGATAAGGAGGGTTTCTAGGAAGTTTCTTGGTTTGATTTTTTTATTTTTGAGCTCTACCAGTTTTGTATGCTTGTTGCATAATGTGAGTGATTCATGCACATCATCATGAATAGTCACATAGATACTAAGGTTCATTGGTGAAACAGCAATTATTTGAACAGGGAAGAATACTGCATTGATTTTGGATGGGCCCTGGCTATTGAAATACTGCAGATGACATTTAAAGTTATCCATGGGATACAGTGTATTATATAACACAAAATTATTTTGGTGTACATAGCAGTGTGTTCTCTCTATTACTCTGAAACAAGACATGCAGTGGCCTGTCGTTATCCTCTGAACGTATGTTACCCTTGAGTTACACCACCTCACTGGAATTCAGCACCTTTGGGATTAAAGGAAAGTTAATACAATATAGACGGCTTTTACCATGCAAAATGGTGTGTTTTGTTGCATCAAGGTCAAGTAAGTTAACCCCTGGCCTATGATGCACCATGGAATTCAGGATCAGTTTAAAAAAAGAGTAAGTGAGAGAAATATAAACCTCAGGTACTTGACAGGTAACAAGAGAAATGTAACTAAGTGCTGTCATATTAAACTTAGAAACATTTCTAGTAAGACACCGAATTTCTGAACAATTTGTATTTGATTCATTTTTCTAATTGGCATTTACTTTTACTTTCTGATGGAGGTATTAAAATCTACATGGGTGATTTTAAAGCTTATGAAAGAGACAATACTAGCTAGAGACAGGCAAAGAACTGGCAGACACTGTGCAGTCCCAGGGAAAAATTTTCAAAGGACCTAAGTGAACATCAGTAGCATTTTGGCTTCTAAGTGCCTACATTAGTTGTATAAATGGGACTTAGGCTCCTAAATCACTTAGTGGCTTTGAAAAAGAAAAAGAACCCAAAAAGTGACACTAAAAAGGTTCCGTGTTTATTGTGCCCCATTGATTCCAGATCAGATGTGCTCCACTGACAGCAGAAAAGAATTTTTTTCTGCCGTCCCTGAAAACTCAGCCAAGGCAACAATAATCAAGCTTCCCTCCTTGTGCATCATTCCCAGTTATAGAAGCTCTGCAGGACAACCCCACTGTCAGCAAATTATGTCCTCCTCCGTCACCTCAGCACAAACCCACCCATTGCAGGCTTTGCCCGGGTATAGATTGGAATTTGGTAAACAATTCTGTAGATGAGGCACAAGGTCCAGTAGAATCCAGCCCACCCTCCGATGCCTTCTGCATGGCCAACGGAAGTCAAAAACCGTAAAACTAATTTGAATCACTCATATCTACCATACAACTTTGACTACACACAGAGAACAGATCTATTGAAAAAGTCTAGTCTTGAACAGAATCACAATAGGGATTTTCCTCTTGATTGCTATATGAGAATAAAGTATCTTTCCCCTTCCAGTATCTCCATGCATAGTGGGCATGAAGTGACCGATGTATGTGCTTCCACTGGTGAAGCTGCTTTGTGTACGTTAAATGTAGTAGATAATAATTTGTTGTGTCTTTAGTAAATGTTTTTCATATGCTAGGGGCAAAAGGGAGACATTGGACCTGCTGGAATTATGGGCCCACCTGGCAGGCCTGGTCCTTCGGGTCAACCGGGTCCACCAGGACCTTCTGTATCAGGTAAGAGAGGCCACCCTTAGTAGTCATATTTCCCATCTTCCCTCCCTCATCCCCTCTCCTAACCTGTACCATGTTGTTAATCAGGTACAGATATGTCCATGATATCTTGGTTATTCAGCTGCAAGCTGCAAGAGACTTCCCCTATTGGCAGGTTATTCCATAATAGTCCATTATGCTGGTTCTACTTCCTCTGAAGCACCTGCTATAGTTGCTAATATTTTTAGTAAAAACATAATCTGGGCCATAAGGTTCCCTGAAGATCCTTGACTGTTGGTATTAACTTTTGCCACCCCAATATCAGCTTTTATGTTGTGGCACATGTCTAGCTTTCTTCATCTCCAAAGAGAAATAAAGCTGCCTAGGGTTTGTGTGAATCTGTATAATTGTCATTAATAAGATTCTTCCTCTCACCCCCAACCTCTGTCTGCATCTCTGCCATGCACTCAAAATGCAGAGAACACAGAGCCATTTGCAGCACACGTGAGGGAGCGTTCTTACCTGAAACCTCCCTCCTGTTGTGATGGGCTTGTGGAAGAGGAAAAGCTATGGCAGCCTTGGAGAATTAGTGAGTCTGCATAGTAGATCATCAAAATATTCCAGCTTACAAAGCAAGGTTGTGCCTTCTAATCACCTGCTGCAGAATTGTCGTGCACCGCTCTGCAAAAGAGAAGGACATCAGGTGTAACTGATACCACAATGATAGCTGAGAGGAGATTGGGGGGAGCGGAAATAGGATAGAATTAAAAGGATTCTCTCTCTTTCTCCTGTGTGCTGAAAATGCCTCTGTGCTCTCTGTGTTTGTGGTGCATTTTAGGAGATTTTGGGGAGGGGGTATGTGTGGAAGATCTTATTATTGAAAATTATACAAATTCACACAAACCCTAGGCAGCTTTGTTTCTCTTTGGAGATGAAGAAAGCTAGACATGTGCCACAACATAACAGCTGATATTGGGGCAGCAATAGCTGATATTAACAGTCAGGGATTTTCCCTTAATTACTTTAAAATGAAGCAAAAAAAAAAAGGGTGTTCATTTGGTTTCTGGCTTTTTTTTTAAACAAAAATAAATGCCTGGAAACCGATATTTTAAATGGGTACCTGCTGTTTGTGCTGCTGCTTATCTGCTCAGTTTTCTCTTTTCCTTTGCCACCTCTAACCTTATTCAGTGGGTGAAAATTACCTTATCTGTAACGGCTTGGACATGTTATAGTCCTAGTAGCTGTTTGGGAATGGATCTTCATACATATGAGGTCCTCAAAAAGAAACACCTAAGCATAGATTGAAGCAGCAGAAAAATATCAAAGCCACATTTTCTCCATACTGCTGGGAGGGCAACCGAGATCTTGAGGCTTAAGTTTAAAGATTCTCCTTTTACCTGTGATTATGCCCCTCCCCATACTGTTAATATAGGACCTCTTAAGTCCTACTTCCACAGAGCAACTCTCAGTGAAGTCTACAGGAGACAACAATACTCAACAGCTTTCAAAACCCACACCATAAACAGATGAGAATTAAACGTATTGGTATTATGAAGTCCACATGCAGCTGTTCCCATCTGCGTCTGGTTTGTATTCTGTACCGTAACAACATAACATGGCAGCCTGCTCTTTTGCTTTCTAGGACAACTAGCAATAGGACCAAAAGGGGAAAGAGGCCTTCCAGGGCCCCCAGGAAGATGTCTGTGCAGACCTCCACAAAATGTGAATATCCCACCATATGAGGAATCCGTGATTGGACACAGCTCTCCAAAAGTCCCTGCGGTAAGGCAGCTTGTTAGGAGGGTAAGGCAAATGATATCTTAGTGCTTTGATTTCAAAGGCGCTGTGTTGGTCAAACTTCTGGATCAAAGGGAGAGCTTGTCTAATGTCATCAATGTGTTTGAGCATTTTATTTCTAGTATATAAACTTTGAAAGTCAGTCTAGGTGAGGGACCTATATCCTATAACTAAGCTCCAAGATTTGGGTGATTGGATACTTTTGACTGTATTGAAATAACATTGTCTTGGGTATGTGGTTTAGCCTATTTCTGGCATTCCTTATTTTGGGATTGAAGACATTTGCTCTTACCTCAGTCTTGGCTTGACAAAGCCCTGGATGGGTTGATTTAGTTGGGATTGGTCCTGCCTTGGGCAGGGGGCTGGATTTGATAATCTCCTGAGGTCTCTTCCAGCTCTATGATTCTATGATTTTGAGGCTGCTTTTATATCGACACTTCATTTGAATATTTTAATGAGTACTGGATAAAGGAAGCAGGCTTGGAAGCCATGTATATTCATAACATCATATCCTAATAAAACAGGGTTGTTGTTGGTTGCATCCCGTCACGTGCTAAGCAATGCTCTCTCCTTAGCAGTTCTTCTGGCTTACTCCATTTGTCCTTGCTCGCTTCAGTGTTAAGAATTTAGATTTAAATTTGCACTTTTACTTCAAACCCATCTTTGTGCACCATTGGCACTCCCCTACATCACTCTAAAGAAATTTGGCATTCTGAGACAGCTGCACCCATAAAAGACCACAAGAGACCTTTCCGGGCCTTGCGTTCTAGGTTTCATTATGAGCAGGGCTCCAACCAGAGCTGAATAATACAGTAAGCATCTACTTCCATTTACAACTCATTCTTATCACAGCATGTCACTGCCCCAATATCCCCAATGCCTCCTCCATTCTGGGAGCTCTCTGTTGGCTTTGTGTAAAATATCAGCTCAGGTTTTTCATGTCATTAACCACAACTTAATCCTATTCTCTGTAACTATGGCTCATTTTAATTTTCAGATCTTTTGTAATGTTAAGGATATGAAGGGGTCAAATCTGTAGCTGTTGAGAAGACAAAACTGCCATTTGAATTCAACTGAAGTTAGAGCTACTGTATTGGATCTTCCTCTTAACCATGAATGTTTTATAGCTGCAGACTCAGTTCTCTGTGGGGGAGTCTTCACAGTCTTCCTTCATTTGATTTGAAGGCTTTTTCATTTAGTTCCCATTTTAATGGTGCTGAGTTTTGTTTGGGGCACTAAGACATTGTCATGCTATGTAAAAAATAAATTACCCTTGATTTTTTTTTAAAAAAGAACTAATTCTGTTTATCTTAGTGGAAATCAGGCTCAGACATTGTTACTAAATCCATTTTCTTCAGATGCATTCGATTTACTTTTTCTTAATTTAAAAATGTTTTGAATCCTGCTAAAATTAATTTGATTAAACTTCTAAAGGAAGAGATTACAGCTTAATGCCTCTTGCTGCCAAATTTCAATGACCGAGACATAAAAGTCTTTGGGAAGCTCATTCTATTTCTCCTAGTTTTGAACTAATTTTTCTATTCAATTAAAGAATTTGCTTTGGATGGAAACAGACACATATAGAGAAGTACAGATTTCAGTGCCAGTGAAGTCTGAACAAAGTAAAAAAAAGCCAAGTAGGGGTTTTAGCAGTGTAATTAACTATTTATTTTGCAATAAATGTGCATGAAGAAACATTGTCACACTCAATGCGCACCCCAAAACCTGTTCACATGCGTTTTGTAGTTGTGTAACCTACACACCTAAGGTACATCTACACTGCACGCTTATTTTGAAATAAACTATTCCGGAATAGTTATTCCAAAATAGCTTATTTCAAAATAGCATGTCTACACTGAAGGGAAGCCTCAAAATTAGTCCAAGGCTGGCTTCCCTAATGCAGATGTGCTATCTTGATTTAGAGTCCTAGGAGGCACTGGGGAGGAATAACTTAGAATGGCTCTGGGGAGCAGCTATTTCGAAATAGCAGCAGGGGAACATTTACACATGCCTTTATTTCGCAATAGCTATTTCAGAATGGGCGTTATTCCTCATACAATGAGATTTACAGATTTCTGAATAAGCCATCCGTTATTTCAAAATTATTTCAAAATAATGGCATGGCTGTGTAGACACTCGCATTGTTATTTCAAAATAATGCTAGTTATCTCGAAATAATGGTGCAGTGTAGATGCACCCCTAGTGAGGTTCACTGTCCCATGTAGTGGCACTTAGACCACTTATGGCGAGAGATAAGAACAAGGGAGCTATACAGCCCAAGTTGCAAGCCAGCTGGCTTTCTAGCTCAAGCTGTAGACGCTCCTATACTAAACACCACAGATCTCAGGTTCAAATACTCCTGGTGGTGGTTACAGTTGATCCTGCAAATACCCGCATGTGCAGGGCTCGACAAATCACTGTTTCTACTCGCCCATGGAGAGTAGATTTCAGCCGGTTACCCCATTAACCGGTGGCACAGTCATGTGCAGTGAAGGGCTGGCGAGTAGATTTCACTGCTGTTTGTCTAGCCCTGCGCGTGTGTGTATAAGCTTTTGAATAGGCAATGACTTGCACAAGCATTGTTATGGGAATAGCTATGGTACTGAGCTTTTAAAACTTGGCCCTAGGAAATTTAGGCACACGCTCTTTAAAACTCATCTCTCTTAACTATTACTAGTTGTTCTTTGGTGACCTGGAAGTGCACTGGATTACATTTTAGCATAGTAGTATGAATACAAAGTCGCTTTTGGAATCAATCTATTACATCATTTTTCTGTTTGATTAGCAACTTATGAAAAGCTGTTTGTTAACCCTGCAAACTAGACCCCATGGCTGAAACACTCTATAAAAAGATTCTCAGTGATTTCCCTTTCTGTGTCCCAGATTTTTGTGGTGAACAATCAAGAGGAGTTAGACCGGGTGAACACTGAAAATGCGTTAGCATTTCGAAGAGATCAGAGAACTCTGTATTTCAAGGATCCCATCGGATGGCTTCCAGTCCAGGTAAAAATATGACGATTGTCTCAGAAGACAATCTGATTTCATGAAGATTTATGCACCTGTTTAAAAACAAGTTTCGTGCTTTTGAACGCTGGATTTCATAAAGAAAAATTAAAAGAAAAAGAAATTCTCATTTTCCCCTGGGTTTGAGCACCCCAAATATTTTATGTAGAAATTTCTCATTCAAAAAAGTGAAAAGCTGCTGAAACTGAGTAAAATTCTGGAATCTTAGCCTTAGCTCATGGCTCTATTAACTTGACAATAGTTGCAGGTTTTGACAGGGGAGGCAAGCTACATGGGCTCATGGTGCCTGGGTTCCAGGAATATTTCTGGTCTGGGGATCCAGCTCCACCAAAATTTGGGGCTGGGTCTCTCCCCCAGCCCTGCCTACTGCCCCTAGATTATTTAAAAGGGTCCAGGGGACCCTGTTCCCACTATCAGCAGCACACCAGGGTTAAAGTAGCCTGCAGCCACTGGCTGCAGGCATGTTCCTACTAATTTCTGTGGGCTATCAGTCAGGCCCTTTATGAGTCTCTTTCAGTGCACAACTTGAAATAACATGATCTGAACACCTGGTTATAATGTGAGGCTGATCACAGAGCAGGTCATATAAAATGTCTCTCTGAAGGACACTAAACCGTGAAGAAGGACATTTCACTAAACCGTTTCACTAAACTTTGAAGAAGTTTAGATTCAGATCCCAGGATCCCAACTGGCTCAATAGTTGGCCAAACCAAATCCTGGAAAACCCCAAACTTTGGCAAAGATCACATTTGGATCCAAACTATGTGGCTCTGTCACCCACTACGCTACACCCTGTTAATGATGATCAGTCTCTTATAGTTCAGGTCTAGTAATTGTCATGTGTTTATTTGGATAGCTTACCCCTTTCTATCCTGTGGATTACCCTGTAGAGGATGGCAGCACCTGTGGAGATGGCATTATCCAGGCTGGGGAAGAATGTGATGATGGCAATACTATTGTGACAGATGACTGTATAAGTAAGTCCTATATATTCAATATTATTTCTTTATACTACATGCAAGTGCATTCGATTTTCCTTCAGACATGCAAGTAGCTCTAAACACTAGGCAACATAATATCTTGTATGTATAGTATCTTTTATCACAAAGGATCCCAAGTATGCTTTTCATGCTTCACAAACAGGAATCACCTCTGAGGTAGAACATGACAAGTGTATTTTCTAGGGCTTGATCCTGCAATTGATTTATACACAGAACTTCTATGGAAATCATTAAGATTTTGAAGCAAGACTGTGCCTTGTTAGTGTACTGCATAAATATTTAAGACAGGAAGGGCTGCTCTAACCAGTTGAAGTTAAAATGATGATTTTAGGTAGTCAGGATCTAATTACCCAGCTGGGACTTTGTCCAAGATATTGGGACACAAGTGTTCCTATTTCTGCTAGAAGAAATTAATAATGGGCCAGATCCTGGTCCCATTGAGATCAACTGCAGTTTTGCCATTTACTTCAGTGGAATCAGATTTTGGCTGAATATGTTCACTTCTAGGTCGACTCAGGACTGGTTCATGCCAAGTAAATTGGCTTTCATTTTGCTGGTCACTTGTTGCCTTCTAACAAATAAACAGTTACTAAATTACCTAGTTTTCATAATTATCCCCTTCTGCATGCTCATTTAATCAATGATTATATTCCCTATGACTTTTGCCTCACAGCTAAATGAACTTGGTCTCAACTTTTAAAATTATACTTAGAAAAAATCACTGATTTTAAAATCAAATGCCAGTTGCTGACCAGCCAAAAATGATTACAGCAATTGCCATAAAAATCAAGGTGAGTTCACAGTTACCAATCCAAGGTTTCTTTGTATACCACAGTATGGAGCTAACCAAGACCTGCTCCCATTTAAGTTCAAAGGGAGTTTTGCTACTGACTTGAATAGCTTACTTCCTGCTGCTTGGAACTGGAAATAATTCAGCTCTCCTGTCTTGGGGTAACCTTGCATGCATATTGACATTGCATTGGCAATCACTGTGCACAGATGCAAGGGATTTTTTTAACTGAGAAATTTATGCTTAAAAGAAGCACACAGGATCTTTTTCAGGGGGATAAGGCAACATGCCACATTTATTGATAATATAACAAAGTAGCATATGCATTTACACACACACACACATCTTGCTGATGGAACAGATAGATTGGGTGCGAGAAAGGAGCCAGGTTCTTGTCAGTACGGACTGATGCTCCTTTTGGCATGATGAGAACCCTGAAGAACCATACAAGACACCCCATCATTTATAGGATTTTCCTTCCATGTAAGTCTATGCATTTTGCCTAGTCAGGCCTTAATCAATTATTCAACATCACAATCAATCTTCCTATGACATATGCTTATCGAGAAGAAGTTGTTCTCACGGTCATTTGATGTCCATATGCTGATGACCCCTCAGGGGTGTTGTCTTCCGGCAAAAGTTGTTATTGGTTCCCTATCAAGGGATGCTTGCCACTAACTTCAGGGTTCGTCAGTCTGCCTCGGTCCAGTTTGCGTCATCAGCATGCTTTCACTTACTTGATAATTATTTGGTGCTTCTGAGTTTCTGGCCCCTCCTCTGACCATTTGATCATGCAGTGGCCTTCACACGTATGTCTCCTAAAACATTCTCTCTCTCATTCACACAAACAATACATTTACAGAATTGCAGCATGGGACAAAAGGGTAATTCTAGTCACTTTAACAAAGTTACAAAGTCTTTCAACATTAAACTTCTTTCTATCTACTTCAAGGCTTTATCTAATGCTGACATCACGATGCATTACAATATTCCATCCCTTCATAACATCAGAACATCAAACAGAGCCAGAGCTAAGTTAACAAAGCTCCCTGGCCTGTCAGAGACCTACATTTTGTATTTAAGTTTAATCCAAACCTTTTGCTATAACATACATTCATTATAACTAACTGACTTGCTAGTTACAAAATTCCATGGCTACAAGAAATAATAGGTCTGCATAACATACCTTTGTGTAGAGGAACCTACTTATAGTAGATATACTTGCATAATATGTAATGTTGAGGAGAGACCCTGACTGGGATTTTCAAAAACACCGATATGGTCCTGTTTGTCTTTCCTGTATTCCTGACTTGGTTGTCTCAGTTGTGAAGATGCCCTTTTTTTGCATGTTCATTAGGATGTCACCATGCTTATTGTGGAGATGGCTACCGACATGAGGGAGTAGAAGATTGTGATGGAAAAGATTTTGGATATTTGACATGTAAAACATATCTCCCTGGGTATGGATAAAACTATCTTCATTTTATTTTTTTTCATTAAGCACTAAAACCAAAAGAATACCGCAAGAATGTATTTCACTAATGCACGTTTGGTTTAAAGCATGAATTGGAAATGATGTTCATATATAGGCTAACTGTATTGACTTTTAGGGCTAAAGTCTACTCTCAGCTACATGCAGGTGTAACCCACGCACATTCGGGGTATGGTTTACTGTTCCAGGTAGTGGCACTTAGATCACTTAAAGAAAGAAAGTATAAATGAGTTTGACAGCCTTAGCTGAGAGCTAGCTGGCTTTATAGTTCATGGGTAGAGGCATCTGTACTACACTCTAGAGGTCCCTGGTTCAATTCCAGCTGTCTGTGTCACAGATGTGCCTCCATCCTGGTTAAGGAGAGTTGGACAAAAATGCTGCACATATGGATCAATAATGGTCCTTAATTTACTAAGAAGAATCTCTGCTTTTCTGATGTTATCATTAGACTAGATTTCATAATCTTTTCAAGAGTAGGTAAATCCAGAATTTCTACTATAAAATCAGGATACTATTATTTGCAGTATAAGAAAGGGGGGGGGGGGAGGCACAACGCCAATTTCATTGTGTGTACATCAGCTATACGGGGAAAGAGCCCAGTTTGCTCTGCGTCTGCTGTCTGGGATTCCTTTGGTTTTGAGCCCATCAGCCATTTCCTAGTCCAGGCATTTTCAAAGATCAGAACTATCTACAAAAATATTAAATAACAAATGCAAAGTTGTAATTCTGCTTGGCAGAGTACTTCATTGCAGCATCTGCTTATTGTTGATTTGCCTTGTCTGCATTTGTGTAAGTGGCTTCCTCTGGTCAGCATTCTACCTCCAATAGCCATACCTCTATCTCACTGTCAGGTATCATTACTATCTAGCAGGAAACATTTAATTTGTAAATGAAATTAACTTCGGAGTCTTCATAGTTTGTGAAACAATAATGTGCTAATTGACAGGGAAAAGAAACTACAGGACATTTCTGCAAACTGCCTGCTGTGTTAATCCTCATAGAGTGCAATTTCTGAAACAGTCACAGGCTTAGGGCACGATTTACAAAACTGACTAGTTATTGGGACTTCTGAATGTTAGGGGATAACTTGACATGTCTTCAGGGGTCTGGTTTTCAGAATATGCTGGGCAACTCCCTTCTGAAAAATCAGTCCCCCTTTCATTGTCTTAAGCTGGGTACCCTGTAAATGAAGACACTGAAAATCATTAGTGACTTATGAGATACCTCAGCTTTGATGTAAAGCTAATTGTGAAAGACCATTTAAGTCATCTTTTTTTTTTAAAAAAAACCTAATCAAAACTGCTTTTGTATAAAAATTTTGACGTCAAAATCTTAGCTTGCATAAATCGTCACAGCTCAGTTGAAATCAGTGAATCTAAGACAATTCTCTCCTGTCTCCTACACAGACACACACACATACACACACAAACATCATAATTCCTGGCACTTAATCAGTGTTTTTCATCAGTGCTCAAAGTGCTTCATCATGATGTATATGTATTGTTATTCCAAATTTGCAGATATAATTTGAGGCACAAAATTTGAGGGTCTAATCTAATGCCTATTTAATTTAATAGAAAGACATTCATTGACCCACTGTAATTTACCTAAGATTATATACAGGCAGTCCCCGGGTTACGTACAAGATAGGGACTGTAGGTTTGTTCTTAAGTTGAATCTGTATGTAACTCGGAACTGGCGTCAGCCGCTGCTGAAACTGATCAGTTTCACTGCCCAGCGGCGGAATCGGGGAAGCCGGGAGCAGAGCAGCTGGAGTGGTGCCAGTAGATCACGTAGCACTGCCCCTCGGCACTGCAGGACCAACCTGGCAGCACCCCAGCTATCCCCGATTCAGCCGCCGCTGAAACTGACCAGCGGCTGACTTGGGGACGCCTGGGGCAGAACAGCTGGGGTGCTGCTAGGTTGCTCCGGGGCGAGAAAAGCCCCATTCGTAAGTGCGGATCCAACGCCAGCAGAGTTAGGGCGGGGAGTGGGGCCCCCATCACACCCTCCCACAGTACCTTAAAACTTTCTCCTGGAGGAAAGGTAATATTCTATGCAAAGTTTGGTTGCGGTAGCTCTTATAGTGTTCAAGTTATTAGAGCACAAACATACAAACATTCTCCTTTATATATTAGATTTATGGTGGAAGTAGGATAAGAAAAATGCCCATGGACTTCAATAGGGCCTGAATTTTACGCCTAGTGTATATTAGACTCTGCAGGATCAACTTCACTGGCAGTAGTGACTGACATAGAACATAGCTAGAAATTGCTGTCAGATGTAGTTGGAATTTCCTGACATTATATTTATGTGAATTGACTTGAGTTCTTCAGAAAGCTATTCCAGGTACAATGTGTTGGAAATTTGAATACTAAAGGGTATTCACAACCAATCCATCTATAATATTTGTAAATGTATAAAGGAAAAGAAAATGCATTAATGGTCAAATATTTCATCCATTACAACTGATGCCCATTCTATTTTATCTTAGGTCTTATGGAAAGTTACGGTGTACTTCTTATTGTTATATTGACTCTACACAGTGTCGATATTTCACATGAAGGAAAAATGGAGGTGGGTAGCATCCCACATGTGACAGATACACCAGGTGCTACACTTTCATCAATCTGAAAAGGACTAGGAAATCTACACAACCTCTGTGCAGAGAAAAAAACAACTATCATGCTGCTGATGGCTCTTTGAGATGTGCTTTAAAAAAAAATAAGTCTGACTGGAAGAAAATAGGACCACTGCATCCTGTCTTAACAGAAAAATGTCAAACAGTGTTTGCCAATAAGACTTGTGTTTCACATGGCTGCCTATGGGAACTGCTCTTTGTGAGAATCACCAGACTAAACCACTGGAAAACTGAATTTCACTAAACAGGAATATTGTGTAACAATACAACAATACCTCGACTTAGCACTGTTAGACCTACATACAAACTCTTCAGGGTTTTTGTTTTTAGACTTTCTCAGCATAAACACAAGGCATATCCTGGATGCGGTGTTTATAGAGACTATATACTCCTTTACTACAATGTGAACTTTGTATGCGTTGTATCCGCATGAATTATAGTTTGTGACTACAAATTAACCAAAACCCTTACAGGTGAATTCAGTCCAATAAGTGTTTTTAAGGACAGCAAATCAGGGAAAGGGACTGATTGACTTTATTGACAGTTTATACAGTAGATAAGAAATTGAGATGTGTAGATATATGTGTGTATATATGTAAGTATGCAAGTGATTCCTACAGGGCCCACAGTTGTTGAACACAATAGCCAGATTGGGTGGACAAACTGTGGAATGGCCAGGAAATGTGGTCTCTTGAGAGGAGATCAGACTATAAAAGAAGGCAAAAATTTAACACAAATAAATAATTTTCTTATTCTTTGTCAAGCTGATTGTCTTCTGTGTTATTACTGAATCTTCTCGGAGTGGGATGGTTTAGATTTAGAGCTTCCCAGAACTACATAAAAAATATTGTGAAAATTAAAATATGGCCATTTAGTGCATGTCTAGACAGCAAAATTGTTTCGAAATAACTAGCGTTATTTCAAAATAACTTAGTCCACATCTACACAGCAGGCAGTTATTTTGAAATAATGTCAAAATACCGTCAAGCTGGAAGACTTCTTACTCTGACTCCTGTAACCCTCATTGTATAAGGAGTAAGGGAAGTCGGAGGAAGAGTGCTCTATTTTGAAATAAGTGATGAGTAAATGCTCCCAGTTTTGAAATAAGCTACGCAATTGATATAGCTCAATTTGCGTATCTTATTTCGCGTTAAGCCCTGCTGTGTAGACGCACCCTTAGATGTTAATTTTCACTTGGGTTTCTATACCAGAGATCCTTTCTATTCCTCATCCACCTGATCTGAATCAGTTATTCGGTCAAGTTCTACACTCCAGATTTCCTGTCCTATCCATTGCTGTCTGTTTCTACTCTTGTCTAGCATTTAATACCACTGAGTATATATTATCACTTTCATATCTCTATAGGACTACTGATAATAGTGTGTTAATGGATTCTCCTTCAGTCCATATGCTGTACAGATTATATATATATTGTTTTTGTTTTTCAGAAAAGTTGGTCAAATGTATGTGACTCCAATAGCATTCAGGGTAATTTATGTATTTGTTTATTGGTGGGTGTTTAAAGTACAAATTTTATGTTGGAAGAATATTGAATATGCTACATGAAAATGCAACATGTTTGCAATTAAAGCAACTGCTCCGTATAAGGACATGTAGAATTCATGATGATAAGACTCGCAATCAGTTCTAATTTTCATATGGGCCACTTGTTTCTTCTGCTTTTGTGATAAATCTTGTATGTGGCTGTTTGAAATGCATGAGTTACATGTACCATGCTGGAACCATTGTCATATATACAGTTACTTCTGTAAAGGTGAACTAAAAGTGGGTGTTATGTTACAATGATAACGCATAAAAACAACCAACAAATACATATATCTTTTACCACGTGTGTAGAAGACATGGCTTTAATTCTGCATGCCCATTGTAATATTGGAATTTGCTGGTATAAAAATAAAGGCAGTTAATTCGTTCTCTGAGACTCTCTTGCCTGTATGAGTTATGCTATTATGAGGTATTGTTTGTAGTCCAGCGCACTGATCATATGATCGGTCTTTCTTTTTCTTTTCTTCGGTCCATTTTTTAAGCAGAGGTGTTAATAAATTATCATCTTTTAGTTAGATTGGTGTGGTTTGTGTACATTTCCTTAATATTTTATATCCTGAATAGCTATGTAACCTTCATGTAAGAAAGCTTTATGTTGGTACAAGCTGAAAGTGTAAGCTACAGCAGTGCTATAGTAATGCTGGCCCTATGTTTCACAACATAAAACTGGGGGCTCCGAGGGCTCATCTAGACTACACAGAAGATTTGAAAGAGGATAAGCAAATTCTGTTGGAATTTGCATATCTTCTGATCTCACTTTCAAAAGAAAGTAATCAAGATGCATTTTTTTCTGCAATCCCTCCCCTTTTTTGAAAAGCGGCATAAACCTCATTTTTTGAGGAAAAGCAGCTTTTCAAAAAAGGGGAGGGATTGCAGAAAAAAATGCATCTTGATTACTTTCTTTTGAAAGTGAGATCAGAAGATATGCAAATTCCTATGAAGTTTGCATATCCTCTTTCGAATCTTCCGCATAGTCTAGACAATAGGCCCAACTCCTCTATAGAATTTCACAGCTGAAAACCCTGTAGCAGCCTTTGATCCATATTATCCGTAGTCTGCTTAAAGAGACTTCTAAACTTCTATAGTGGCAGGCTCTTCCTTTGTCTAAATTTGTGCACTTTTGGTTTTGGCTCTGCAGTGCCTTATGAACAGTTGTTATGACATTCACTTTCTCGCTGTTCCTCGGAGAACATCATTTATAACTCAATGATCTTTCCCCTGCGTGCAAACCTCTCTTTCTCAATGAATTTAGTTCACTGCTTCATGCATCTGCAATCTCTGAGATACTCTGTGAATCCCAGTGGCCCTTTTTCCTTAGTTTTTCTGCAATATATAACGTCTAAAAAAACCTATATTGAAAGAATGGTTGCAAAGTCAAGCACTCAGAAGTTAGGAAATCACATGATGTGAGTGAGCATGAAGTATGTGATACTGTAATTAAAGACTATATCATAACACATGCACACAAGATGGCCAAATTAAGGTTCCAGAGTTAGCCTTAATTCTGGCATTTTCTAATGCTTAACTTCATGAACAATGTTTTTTTAATGTAGTTTTTTTAAATATAATTTCTATTAAAACACTTTTTCATGTAGAATAAAACTGACCTCCCTACTCAGGTCTAGCGTTGTGAACGACTAGATGACTAGTCGACTATCTGATAAGCAGATGCCTATTGGATAGTCGACAGTCTAGTCAACTAGCCACTTCTCTGCCCCTCCCCCGCCCTTGCTGCCTGTATCAGAAAGAGGCAGCAAGGGGGGAGGAAGAGAAAGAGGTGCTTCAAAGCGGCAGCACCACGTGGAGCCTGGGGCCTCAGACTCCACGCGGCACTGTTGCTTTGAAACACGCATGCAGCCTGGGTCCAGTTGGACTGTTCCAAGGCTGCACGCTGCGTTTCGAAACATCAGCACTGCATGGAGCCCAGGATCAGCTGGGGACTCCCCCACTGATCCCAGGCTTTGTGCGGAGCTGGGGCTTTGAAACACTGCATGGAGCCTGATGCTGGGCTCCCCATGGGGTTTCGAAGAAGGAGTTTCGCATGGAGCCTGGGGTCAACTGGGGACTTGCCAGCTGACCCCGGGCTCCATGAAGTGCTGCCACTGTCAAATGCTGTGAGGAGCCTGATGCAGGATTCCCCACAGTGTTTCAAAACTGCAGTGCTGCATGGAGCCCGTGGTCAGTGGTGTCCCCAGCTGACCCCAGGCTCCATGCGGCACTTTCACCTTTGAAGTGTAGCAACAGCCTTATGGCTGTTGCTACATTCAAAGGTGGAGGTGCCCTATCTACTAATCGAATAGTCGATGCAAAATGCATCAACTATTTGATTAGTCAATTACTCGAAATTTAATATCCCAACTCAGGTCATCAACAGGCTCATTATTTTAGCTCTACAGCACAGACTTGGACCTCTTTAGTTCCTGGTAGCAAGAGTAGGCCATTAAAAGGGGATGAGGCTCACATTTTGCAGATTGCTGCTGACAGCAAAGGATACAGAGACTCAGGACTCCTGAGTTCATGTCCAGGTCCTAGAGGGATGTAACTTTAATGGTTATAGACCCTTCAGCCTGCCTCCTACCCCCCCCCCATCAACTATTCTGCTTCTAACATTCAGTAATGCTCTTCTCCCCCTGAGCTCCTATCCAATTCAGTTCCTGTCCCTGCCACCTCTGCTCCTATTCACCCACTGCTCCTATTTTCCTTCCCGCCTGTCCATAACCAATCCCAACCCCCCTAGTTTCAGCCCCCACTCTCTCTATATAACCCTTTCCCCCTGAACACCCTCATTTTCTGGCTTCTGAAATCTCCTAGTTCTTTTCTTGCCTTGCATCCCTGTCCTGAATCCAAATCAGGCCACTTTCTCCTCACAACTTGGTTGCCAGCAAAATTTCCTTCCCCATATTTCCTATGCCTGATACCACAGCATAGAGCAGCATTCACAGTAAAAGTCCTACAGCCCTGGATTTGTTCATGTTCAGTATAGATGGCTCTTCCGTTGGTATCTTCAGTTTAGCTGTCAAACGACTACTAAGCATGTGCAAATTGAGGTTTTTCCAGAGGCATATATTTTGGCCAGATTTACATGAATTTTCACTGAGACTGTAGAATACTTCTTTCTGGAAACTCCCTGCAAAATTGCAGGCTCTTCTGCCAAAGGATGGTGACATTGAGTCTTCTCGCTGATATGGTTGTGCAAATATTTTAAACGTGGACCCACTGATATATTTTTTTCTTGACTCTTATTCACAGAAAGTGTGGAATTGTCTTAGCTGAAACGTTAAGAAAAAATCAGTTTGAGGCAGACACCAAATATGGTCTGTAGTAATTTTAGAAATGTGCTTCTGGATAAGATGGTTTCTGATTAGCTGAAGTGAACAATAAACCTTGTCTCTGAGACATTCCAGCTACAATGGGACATGGTAAGATGGTGGTACAGTCCCATTGTAAGACTGTGACAGCCATCTTATGAAATACAAGTGTGTTTTTGATCAGAAGATGATTGCTGTATGAATAGTACCTTCTCAACCAATATAATTGCTCATGGTACTTTTTAGAATCATCTCTACTGCAAGAGCTGCTTCTCTGGTGTCCCAACCACACACATTGTCTCACATCTCCCTTTAGGCCACATAAAATGCAACTACCAAAATGTCTTCTTTGCCCATCAATCTGACCGTGTGGTTTGCCTACATCTATGTGTGCCCATCCACTTTTACATCAGCTTTGAGTTTTTATCATCACCATGAAAACTACGTAATGCTGCCTCCACCCCTCTGCTCCCACTCTCATCGGCCTGTCAGCCTCTCAATACAATCATCTTTGTGCCTTCTTACACATGGCGTCATATGTACAGTGCAACACCTGTGAGCTCATCTGCAATGCCTCTACTGTATCCATGGTTAAAGACCCATTTCTGCACTGCCGCATACAGAGAATCAAGTTGGAACTAACTACCATGTCAAAGAAAGAAGTCAAGAGTTGGTTGGGCAGGATTTGTTCTTGGAAAATCCATGCTGACTAGTAGTGATCACCCCTTTGCCCTCCAGGTATTTACAAACTGAATGTTTTATACATACTCTAGTAGCTTCCCAGGTATTGAGGTCAGGCAAACTGGTCTTGTTTTTTCCCTCTTTAAAGCTCTTTCAAAAGATCACGTCTAGACTGCAGGCGGATCTTTCGAAAGAGAAATCCGCTTTTTCGAAAGAGAGCACCCAGCGAGTCTGGATGCTCTCTTTCGAAGACGGCCTCTTTACATTGAAGAACACCTTCTTTCGAAAGAGGAGCTTTCGAAAGAAGGCGTTCTTCCTCGTGAAATGAGGTTTACCGCCATCGAAAGAAAAGCCGTGTTCTTTCGAAATAATTTCGAAAGAACGCGGCTTGAGTCTGGACGCAGGGGAAGTTTTTTCGGGAAAAGGCT